TTTAATTAAAACGAAAGATGTTCAATTGTTAGTGGAAAGGGTACATTGAATCTGTGATCAAGGCCGTTAACGAACAGCAATATACGAAAATTCAGAAGTTCACGGCCATTCCAGTTTCCTTGGCTAAATCGGACATCTACGATGGCAAACAGTAAGACGGACCTTACTCTTTTAGGGAAAAATACTAATATAAAAGAAAATATAGCTGTTACTTATTGAGCTGGAATAGCTCTATCGGTACGACTACGCCGTGCGCTTGACGATCTAGGAACTGAGGTTAGATTCCTGGCAGAGGCAAGAAATGTCCTTTGTGCCGTTCAGACCGGCTCTGGGGCCAACCCAGCCTCCTGTACAATTGGTACAGGGGATAAAGCGGCCGGGGCGTGAAGCTGACCACTCACCTGCGTTTAGTGCAGAGGTCAAGATAGTACAGCTAAATCTCCACTCCCCCATATCGTCTTCATGGCATGGTACTTAGTTAATTAAGCCCGGGGATGGCTTAGCCCTTTGTGATAAGTCCGCCAGTAGGAGAATAAGTTTTGTAAAGTAGTGACATCTGCACCAAGAGATATCGTCATAATTCATACCTACAGGTTAAAATAAAAAAAAGCATATATTTTCATGGTCGACATGTAATGGAATTAATAAGCTAGGTACCGGATGATATGCATTTACGTTTATGACCGTGTCATCTAGCGTGTATTTTATTGTTAATTGAACTGTGAATGCCTGCTAGCCGACGTCTAGCAGTAGGTTGCATAAAATCAGGAACAGGGTGCGGCCTATATTCGCAGACTGTAAAACAAAGGTCATTGATTTTGCTGCACAAAATTACATAGAGTTCTCAATGCCTGCAACAGATGGGGCTACATCCTTAGCTCTAGGCGTGTAAATTGTCTTACGTAGTTCTGTATTACTCTACCAGATGGCACTAGTTTCCATATTCCCATGCGGGGAATGGTTGAGTGCATGAAGAGTACAGAATTGAGAGGAAACTATAGTTATATGCGAGCGTAACAAATGCCATTAGGGGGGGATATGGCTATGCAGTCTTTTATAGTTGCAATTTATGTTTTGGGGAGATGAAGTTCAATTCTGTATCTGAACTGTCTTCACTTCTGTTGAGTGCGGCTTGGTTTGTTTCAAAGCTTTCCTCCTTTGTCAGCTGGCGATGTTATGTAAGCTTTCTAATTTTATTGCAGGAATATTCTACTGTACCAGCTGGTATTCCCAGTCCTTTCTGCCATTCTGTTGAAAGTGCAGAGATACAGGATTCTCGCAAGGAATTCTAGCTGTGTGCAAGAATTTTCTTAGTGAAAGATGGAGCCATCACAATAGCCTTGAGCAGGTTGTCTTAATTTTTTCTTTGAAATTTACTCAGTTACAGGGTTCTTCACCTTACTGATTAAGGTTTAGATCTTAACATCCCGTTTAAATGCATCATATCAAGGACGCAAGTAATACACAATTTAGCTTTAATACCATTAACAGCCATTAACAGGGCAAAACTTGAAGCGGCATTATCTCTAGAATATTAAAAAACAACTATTTAGAGACAAATAACCGAACATAAACGTGCAAACAGGCCGTCCAAAACTTAAGTGCTTCCTCCGAATCTCAGGTCTACGAGTGAATGGCATCACACACATACACACGCACGCAAGCACGCACACACACACATATATACATATATATTGACACACAAAAAGGATTTCGTCGTAGAAATGAAGCTATTTTAGAAAAGATACTGTTTGCCGATTTGCACGTTTTATGATAAGTTTTTTAGCAACTAGTTTTGAATACGTGTTAGTTATTAGTCTCCCAGAGCTCAGAGATATTGTGTCTGCAGTATCATAGCATCGAAGATAGTTGTTAGAAAGGCAGTCAAATTTTTAGTCTTCTACTCCTACCTCACAATAAGTGCACGCATATAAACTATGACACCTCGCTCTACGGTGACGAAAACCAGGAAAATGTACGAAGGTACCATTTTGCTACAGCACGAAGCATACGTGGAAGTAAAGCTCCACTCATTCTGCTCAACGGTTCGATCGGTGGTTGAGTGGTTAAGCTGCAAGCCCAAGATGAAATATGTATCGTGGTAATTATAATGTGACAGCTACGTACATCTTCAGAATCTGAGTCAACACAATTATCTGTCAACAGTACGAAGTTTAGTATATTCGTAAGTACTACGCAACGCTTTATAATTTAGTAAAATATATGTTTAAATTAGTAGACTTCAAACTATTATATAAATACAGTATATTTATTAATCTTTTGGCATGTACATGATTCGTTTTCATAAACAACAATACATGTAACTGACACTAACATTTTCTGCGATGAATAAATACATGTAAATTATGTGTCCTCATATATTCTAGTAATATTAATGTGAGAATGCAATTGTAATGTGAAATTGCTAAACACTGTTATAGCCAGGCACTAGAATGTTGTATAAATTTTGTACACTTTGGTTATTTGAAAAGTCTGAATGTATGACTTTGATGATAGTAAGCTGAAAATTTAAATTACTGCAACTTTGACAATCTTAGCTCAAGTTACGTAAACAGGATCTAAAAGCAAACCAGATTTAAAATTCGGTACATAGTGGCCATAGCAAAATGCCCTCAGGGGAGCGAATCTAGAAACACAGCCCTTAATTACCATTATCCAGAGCTTAATGCCTTATAATGGCCGCGCCATAGCCCAAGCGGTTAGTCGCTGGCTTCCCACCACGGCAGCCCGTGTTCGATCCCGGGGTCTCGTCAAGTGGCGCTGGGGCAGGTTTTATCCGAGTTTTCCCCCGCCAATCTTCATTCCACCAATTGCTCCACAATCACCCTCACCTATCATCTGGGGCTCTTACAATAGACCAGAAGTGTCCTCAGTACAAGGGATTTAGTCCCACCCCACTAGCAATAAAAAAAAAACCTTATAATGATTTATATTTACCGTTATACATGTTTTTGTATGTTTCTGTTACAGGGAGACTATTGGAAAGCCTGCCGGAATCCAGTGGCCGGTCTAGTCGAAGGGAGAGAACCTCGCATCAGTCCTCGCGTGTGTTCGGACACGCAGGGCAATCTAAGCACTCAAAGGCCAGATATCCATGAGGGGTACTGTCATTTGAGATGTGATGCCATGAAACTCTAAACCCCAGGCTCATGTACAAGATGTCTAAGGGATATATGATGGGAATGTTCAAGTCTACGGCATATTCCATTCCATCTCTCTTCAATGAGAGCTTGGTGTTTTGATTTCGTTTTTATCGAAGAATGACCTGCCTATCTGAATTTACTTACGGCTGTGTGAGAAGTATTTTCTTATTTGGAACTCTGACATCCTAAAATTTATGCCCGAATGTTCTCCCAGCTAATCTCACATGACTAGTGTTCACACAGGTAACACATACACACTCGCTGTTTCAATGTGTACGTTACGTGTGCTATTTTGACACAGGAAATAACACAACTGAGTCATGACTACTTATCGAACAGGTCAAATAATTTAGCAGTAGCAAAGTGATGCTCGGGATTTATGAGTCGGCCGACGCATAATGCACAAGCTCTCTTTCCTGTAGCTACTCAACGATTTATTGGGACAATATTCAAGAGGAATTGTAATTGTATAGGCTACCGATTTATCGACAACGCCAAGAGCCCGAGTGATGGCGAAACGTTCTACAGCACATAGAATTTCCGCCTGAACGGCCGAACGATTTGTGGTTGGCTTTCAAATAACTTTCCTATATATTAAACAGGCGCAGTTGGCTTAGTGATCGTGGGCGTTTGTGATGTTTATGTGGGTCTGTGTTTAACTTTATTGCATTTTTTTAATGTTTTATTTCAAGAAGCTTATGCCCACTTTCCTTGTTCACTTGTTACAGAAACTTGACTAACACGCCAGTAGTTCAATTCCAGTTTCGAAAGAGCAGTTAAATGATAACTAAATTAAAATAAAATTTTATATATTATGATAATAAACTCTGTAGAACGAACTTTATCGTCATTTATATATTGTAGGCTTCAAACCATGGGTTTTAAAGGCAGGTCATCGTGCCAATAGAATTCTCATATGCGTTTTTAAACACCCTGTATGTATATTCGTAAGTTTTTCATCCTGTTGTGCATGTCACTGCTATGTAAATATGTCCGTCGATCACAACAATTTTATACTTTTAATAAATAACTGACAGACCCAAATTATCGATAAAATCAGTTAGTTATATTAATGTGTTACTTTGCTACATGTTTCGGTCATTTACGACCATCATCAGGCTTTTATAAACAATAAAATGCATCTACGTTCATTACTGGACTGTGTGTCGCAATGCATCCATTGCTAATAGGCCTGTCATTTAAAAGTTTTTTTTACATGGAATTACAAAGTTTAAATGAAAATTAAAAATGAAAGAAGAAAAAGACTACCGCACTCCTCCCCACCCTCCCATACTGTACTATTCCTGGCATTACCTAACAAGAACTTCAGTCCATTCCCAACAACACAGTCACATACAACACATCAGCAGAACAACAAAACTACACCTCAATATGTAATTGTATAAATCAGTAATATATATGCAAAGTAAATATATATGATTGTAATCTACCCTACAATAACAACGCGCGAATTCCAGGTTCAGTAAACCAGGAAACAGTACCATAAACAAAATTTCAATACGCAAAATCTTACTATTACAGAACAAATAAGAACAGGACCAGCGAGCCCGCCACAGAACGTCAAAAATCATTAATTCACGCACACAAAAACTACTATAACACAACTACATGTACACAACATATTCTTATTTTGTCCAGACAAACCACCGAAAGAAGACAGCAGAACATCAATGTATATATATATATATATATATATATATANTAAATTACCGAAACATGTAGCAAAGTAACACATTAATAAAACTAACTGATTTTATCGATAATTTGACAATATCATTTATTTATTAAAAGTATGCAATTGTTGTGATTGACGACATACTTATATAGTAACCTTCATTTCTTGCATCTTATTACCCTGAAGTATTTCACTTAATGAGGAGCACTACATGTGACACATGACTTTATACGTGTAGTACTGATCACATGTGACTATCTAAAGAGGCGGTCATTAAGACGCTAGTAATCCCTCTGGATTCTGAACTTCCTTAATGAAGTAAAACTGAAGGACAAAATGCTGATTCTGAAGCTAATCATGAGGATGGCATATTTAGGTATCACGAAGCAAATGGAATTACCACTGTTGTTTACTTCTGCCACCTGAAACAAAGGTAGGTCTACAATTAAATTAAGAAACTATTTGTTCATTATAATATGTGGTGGTCATGCTGAAATGTACTCAATATAGAAGGCCATTAGAAGCCCTTCACGTTGCGGTAGTCTAGAACAAGAATCTTCTTTCTGTACTTAATTAGTACGAAGGAAATGTATATTTCTATGTAATCACAATCTGTTACAGAAGCAGTCTCACAGATACGAATAAATACGTTTATGAACATAAGACAGTCGTGAAAGATAAGTCAGCAGAGCGACAGGCTAAGGGCTGGACGGCCGGGGTTCGATTCCCGGCAGAGGTAAGAGATTTTTCTCTACTCCACAGAGTCCAGACCCACTCTGCGATCCATCCAGCCTCCTATGCAATGTGCATCGGGTTCCTTTTTCTCCGGGGTAAAGCGGCCTGGTTGTCAAGCTGACCATTCACCTCCCTCTGGTGCCGAAGTCAATAGTGGTGGAGCTATACCGCCACTCCCCCGTGTGTCTTTATAGCATAGTGCTTAATCAGTTACAAATAGGCACAACTTCATCCTTTTTTATAACTAGAAGATGTTAAGAAGCTAAAGACCTATACTGAAATTGGAAAATTTAAAACAAATTGAAGATTGTAAAGGTTCTGACGATTTTGTATAATACTCAGAAATACTGGAGGTTCGGACTGTCCATCGTCCGGTATTCTAGAAACTAGAAAACACAACATTTCGGAAGCTAGATCTGTTTCCGTCCTCAGGTGGGAGGGGAAGACACCTACTCTGTTGTGTCTGTAAATTTTACAGGGGTTGTCTAGTGATTGAGGTTAGCTTTTTCTAAGGAACCCAGTAGAGTAGGTGTCTTCCCCCCACCTGAGGACGGAAACAGATCCAGTTTCCGAAACGTTGTGTTTCCTAGTTGGCAGAACACCGGACGATAGATAAAGTCCAAAAACCCAGTATTTCTGAACTTGAAGATTTGTTCGTACGGAAGTGAAAGAGGAAACGGAAATGGTATGAAGGACGTAGTGACCGCAGTTGATAAGGCGTTGCCACAGAGTGGGAACATAATCGGACGTTACATAATTCAGATTCTTGACCAAAGCCAATACAAATATGAGTTTCTAGCAAAATCCCAGTTAAATATTTGCGAATGATAAGAACAACCACCACAATATCATGGGAATTATGAATCTGCATTATTGCAAACAGTTTGCGGGCGCATATGTGGCCTAGTGGTCAGCGTTCCTGGCTACAGATATAGAAGTTCGGCTTCGATTCCCGACGCCAGCAGATTTTCTGAGAAGTAGTGGGTCTGGAACGGGGTCCACTCAGCCTCGTGAAGATAATTGAGGAGCTACGAGTATTTCAAGGAAATAGCGGCTCCGGTCTAGAAAACCGAAATTAACGGCCGTGGGGATTCGTTGCGCTGACCACGCAACACTCTCTATCCGCTAAAGTAGGCACTAAACTTCGCCGACAAGCGGCGGTCGCTCGGTCGGTATGGTTCGCTTGCGTAGTGATATCACGGAGTTTGTTTTGTTTTGTTTTGTTTTGTTTACGACTATTATGTGCATGTTATGTCTTTTTCACGCTGTTGTGGTAGCTATGTATTTACGCAGGTGGTAGCTGATGTTGGGAAAAAAAAGCCGTCTAGATAGTAAAAATTTAAGTATAAGGGTTATAAAGAAAAGAAATAAGGGATGTAAGGTGAAGATAGGAAATAAATGTTTCCTTGTTGAGCTTCAAGGACTTTTCTACTAGTGATACGAAGTTCACTTACGTTAGCCACGTACGCATCGGTTCCTCTTGGTTTTAGTATCAAACACACATTTCTCCCCTGTGTGACACTTCACATTGTCACAATATGTAGATTTATCTGCAAAGAAGAGCAAACCACACTGTTTTACTAAATATGTTACCCTTTAAAAAAGAGATTCCAAAAACTACTTCCTTTTTAAGCAAAATATTCCCACATTTCATATGTAATATTATTTTCTATATATATTCAGTATGTTTTGTACGAGTATAACACTTGTTAACCAAATTTTTATTAAAATGAGAGGTAACAGGACTCGGTTTTTTTTACTTGCTAAAATTAGGTTTTGGTTGTGGGTAACTTTTGGACCTTCTTTTCTACAACGTTGTAATAAGGCCCTTAAAATGTGATGTACTTACTTACTTATGGAGCTGAGCCCTTTTTGAGGAGAAGCCAAATCTGCAGCTACTCAAGAATCTCCCAGCAGTTTATAGAACCTGAAGGTTCATTACCGTGTTGACAAGAGCCCTCCACTGGTCCCTATCCTGAGCCAGATCACGCCAACCCATACTATCCCATTCTATCTCTCTAAGATTCATTTTAATAATGTCCACCCACCTACGCCTTGGTCTTCTCAGTGGTGATGTACAGAATAATAAACAATCTACGGCAATTCTCAGGAGAAAATACTTTCGGCGCTGTTGAGTCCTGATGCTCCTACTTCTGGTTACGAAGTTTCCGAACATTTCAATGGACTAAGCTTTGGTCGACCTGCTCTATGTATCAGAGTCGCTAGTTTCGAAGGCCGGGATCACATGATTCTCCAGTATGATGAGGACACAACTATGATCATCTAACCCACTCAGACGCATGAGAGACAGGAGTTCCTCGACAGCCACCAGTGGATCAATAGCAGACAAAGATCGACTAGAAATCTGTTGAAATTTTTAGACAATAGATAGCATTCTTCTCACGAAAGTGGCTGTCGATGAAATTGGGTCACCTTCTTTTAGTTGAACACAAAGGAGCAATCTGCGAAGTGGAATCAACCTCTCAGCGGAATAAGTTTTATACAGGTTTCTCAGCAAGCAAATTCATGGCCACAATCATATGGGAGTTATAGAATATCATGTCCCCACTTCTCCAGAAACTTAAGACGCCTTTTGCAGAGTGAATCCACAGAAACAAATTTGGGAAGTATTGCATTCCTCATCCCAAAACTCGGAGGCTGAAGCTTCCTGGTGGGGAAAGGACTGATCGAGACCGAGCGCCAGTGCCTGTAGTTTGGCTGGAGTGGAGTCTGGGACTCAGTGTGTAGGAGGTCTTCATATAGATTGGTGTTTCAACTGTTGCTTTGGGATGCAGTAATGCTTGCAGCTATTGAAGCAGCACTCATGAATCCGCGAAAGTGACATGCAAATAGAGTCTGACAGAAGTATGAACTAGATTCCAACAAGCCTAAAATAAGTCTGACTTTGATGCTTAAAAAGGGAAAAGATCCTCCCCTTGCTTTTGCTTCCAGGATCCGTCACAGTTACAAGAAATACCTCGTGTGCTTTAACGTGGGCTTAAGTCCTAAGCAGCTGGACTCTTCTCCTTCTTAGTAACTCTCGTGTAACATGACCTGGGCTTGAAGTCCACAGGAGCTGGACTTTGCATCTTCCCGATAAACCTTCGGACAGGGGCGACGCTTCATCACATCCCTTACTAATGAAGCCATGGTCTGACTAATATTTTTAAAATTAATCCTTTTTCTATACTATTAATTATTATGTAATTTTTACCTGTCTTAATTAAATCAAAATAGTTGCTACAAGGCATATACAGAGGACGTGAAAGAAAATTGGGAGAAATGCGGCCTCATACAATCCTGAAGACTGAGGGAAGCAGTCACAAAACTGAAGGACATGATTAGGCTCAACGGTGTTAAAACTCTTATTTCGTTTAGACCATCGCCGTTTCGAAGATCTGGAATGCGTTACTTGCGTCCATATTTACAGAGAAGGCGATGAAAAAGTTACTTCGAGTGGTAGGGCAGGAATTATACTAGCAAGGGAAAATTACTCTTGTTTGTGAGGTAGCTGAAATCGAAGGAGATTTGTGGAAATATAATTTACACGCAATCAAGATATCTATAAAATTTTGACAGCCAGTTTCAGTGTTTCGCCGCTCGATTTTTTAAATAAAATTTCTTGTGAAACCAATGAGTGTTTTCATATACATATGTCTGTTCATACTTCTTGCTGACAATATTAACAGCCATATATTTGTATTCATTTATAAAATTTTAAGTGTATATAAATTACTGTATATATTTCGGAAAATAGAGATGTACCATCGGCCGTTTCTACAAACGTGGGCCAAATTTCTATGCAAAATGTTGTATTTTAGCGTCCTGTTGCACTGATTTTCATCCATGATACATATATAATGGCTGTCTTGTAGTGCACTCAATTTCGTATGTCGCTTCTTACTACATGTTTCGGCAACATAGTGCCATCTTCAGGTTTGTTATTTACGCTAAGCTAACTATTATTATAGTTGACGAATAATGTACTTTCTAAATAATTTTATGAAAGACACAAGATGGCAAACAATGCAACAGCTTAGCGTAAATAACGAACCTGAAGATGGCACTATGTTGCCGAAACGTGTAGTAAGAAGCGACATATGAAATTGAGTGCACTACAAGAAGGCCATTCTATGCAAACATTACAAACTGTAATCCGAGTAATCTTCACTGAGTTTTCTATCGAAGTAACTCATGTACATATAAATTTGTAAAATGAATTTTTCGAAATCCATAATCAACATTACTTTAAAAAAATGATACAACTATAAGAATTTCAGCTACTGAACTTTTAAACAAAATTTTAATACTCGTATTTTCAATGCCTTGACAATTTTAGCGCCCTGTGTCGGTGTGCCGTGAAATGAGAAAAGTTGAAAATCCCTGGTCTAGGGCTACACTTACTGTAGTCACGGGCTTCAGACCCATAAGAAATGAGACTCGACTCTGCGCATGAAGTAGATCCACACGCGTTCGGACAGCATTTCTTGTCGAAGGAACATTCATAGTCACTTTTGCATCTGTTGAAACAATTGGTTACTGTTCTGGCCATAGGACAGTATCCACTTTTGCCTGAAAATATTATAAATAAATCATGATTAAGATATGCAGATTTTGATCATGGTATCCGATTCTTAACAATTCCATGCACCTTCGCAGAGACTCTTACTTGCTTGGGATAAAACGTTCGAAGACAATACCAGAGTCACCAGGAACACTGTGATGAGGGCGATCATACTTTTTGCTACAAAAAAGAATAACTTGCATTAATACAGGAAATATTGGCCTATTTGCTCTTCCTATCTGACTTCCTGTATAAGATGGTTGGGGCATGTAGAAAGAATGGAAGATAATGCAATGCCAAAGAGAATGTTAAAAGGAATGCTATATACCAGAAGAAGAAAAGGAAGACCCAGGATGAGATGGCCAGACGATGTTGAGAACGACCTGAACAAGATGAAGGTGAAAGGATGGATAGAGAAGACGAGGAATAGAGAGTAGAGGAGACTTGTTGCAGAGGAAGCTAAGTCTCACCCAGGGCTGTAGTGCCGAGTGGTAGGTAGGTAGGTAAGTATGTGACTTCCTGTTGTTTTTCTCAGACATAACCAGGACGTGAAGATATCCAGGGGGAGCAGAGATATAGCTTCACGCATGTTTAACCCCTGTCAGGACTAGATTGAGGTGGGTGGCCAGCTTTAAGCCCAGCCCATTTATCCCTGGGGAGAGCGCCCCCGGTGACATTGAATGGAAGGTGGGTGGGCCCCAGAACCCATCTTGACTCTGTGGAGAAGCGAAAAATATCTTGTCTCAGCCGGGAATCCAAATTCGATTCCTTCCCTATCCAGCCCTAAGTCTTGTCGTTTACCCTCAAACGTCATACAAAATATGAAATGTTTTAGCCGTTGTAATGAAACTTATGAATAAATAATACAATGGGTTAGTTGTAGTTAGAGTGTTAGAAGACAGAGCACGCCTGAGAATACTTGGTCACCGTGGCTAGCAAATACTGTACGATATTAGAGAAGCAAAATGTTGATTTATTACAGCTGGAAGTTGATAGAACTTATTATGACATTGCCGAGACATAAAACATTTATTATTCATATTACCTTTTATGCCAAATTGATTTCTTGTATTAATAATTAAATTGAAATTTTACTCTTAGATCCCTTCTCAAGTTCAGGCTTTCAAAAAGACATTAATGGCTGCAGATATTGAAATTGTTGGACTTGTTGGTATACCTAATTCTGGTATACAGGACTGTTCCAAAATATTTGCACATGTACTGAAACTTATTCTTAACTTTAGTTCATCTCAGAATGACTCTTCTAGGTTTTGAAGGAAGCAGCTACAGTTAATGTTATTAAAAAGAGCAACGGCAAGAGCTGTTAACAATTATATACCTAAAGCTATTCCTAAGTTCTTGAATTCATTATGTATACTCACATTTCCCGTCTCTTAAAAGTTTAAGCCTAACTCTTCATAACATAGTTCTACCATTAATTCTCATAAATAAGTCACTTTCCTTGAATTTGTTTCCCCCTGGTTTTCTTCACAAGGTTCATCTGGTTTCTGATCATTTTGACTTGCGCACTGCTTTCACCTTGCTCCAGATGCATTGCTTTCCACAACCTTGATAATTGACTGTCCCCTGGACACTTGAATGGTTTCATGGTTACTTAAAGAACAGGTTAGGTTGTCTTGTGCGTGTTTTACAGTGTGCTGTCATCTAGTGTTAAGTTGTCAGGCTTACTTCTAGAACCAATTTTGGAGCCATCGTTTTTAATATTTCTACTAATGATTTTTATGATGTGATTAATCTCTTCAGTTGTCTCTTTGCTTATAGTATTAACATTTCTCGAGTTATTAAATCACCCAATGACTGTTAAGCTTTATAATCAGATGTTGACGGTGTGCGTGATTAGTATTCGGCTAATTTTAGGAAGCTTAACTTTAATTACAGTAGGGTTATTTTTTCACCAGGAAAACAAACATGCCTAATTATCAATATATTCCCGCGGATACGGTTAGCCCACAAGAATGAACGGTGTTTTCTATGTGGTCCTTGCCGAGGAGTTATCTTGGAGACAAGTGGGGAGAAGAGTTCAGTTCAGTTGATAGTTCTGCGCGGGAGATGCGAAGATAAAAACTGGGCGCGTGAAGCTGAAGAATCTCCAGCGTTAGAAGCTGCTGCCAGGGAACGGCTGATGAAGACACAGCAGGCTGGAACAGGCTTAGTTGTTGCTGTGATTATTTGCGAATTTTTTTAGATTAGCGGTGGCGTTGTAATTACTTGTACTTCCGAGTCGTGCGTATAAGTGGTCAATAAATTCATTATCCCAACCAAACCCCGTCTATAGTTACACCCCTAAATCGTATTTTTAATATTGCGAACTGACTGTTTTATAAATTTAGGCTTTCTATTTGTTGTAAATTTCATTTCATCGTGTTAATTTTGCTTTTATACGCCACGAAGTTATTGGGATTAATTGGCATTATAACCATTTTATCCTGAGCTACATATACATGTAGCTTACCGATGCTGTTCCTTGCTTTAGCCAAACATGAGGCTGAATATGATTCTTGGAAGTGTACGCTACTGCTGTCTTTAAACTTGGTTTCGTATGCAGAAAGTTTGCAACTCTCTGCTGCAATAGTTTCTTCATCACATCAAGTATCATCACGTCAAATTATTAGGGCGATTACGTCTTCAGACCCTACACACCAGGCGCAACACTTAGATGCTTTGATTTAGCGCCATTACTGATGTTTATTTAAAAAAAATCCTTCAGTGGCACTACAACTCGTTCTTCTCTCGGTATTAGTGTTCCACCTCTGAACGTACGTAACTTTCTGTGTTAAACTCTTCCTTCAGTCATTGTCCTTCAGCCACACGTGCTTCTCTTGCTAATGCAATTTGTAAACTCACATACGTGTACAGAATATCACATTAGTATACGCTATACTTCACAGTTACGTTTCTGGAGCATTCAATTAAGTAAAAAGCTTCATGCCAAAATATTACTTAGAAACCTTCCTTAAAAATTACAATCATCAAAAAATATCAGCTCCTATTGCCACATTCTCCCATTATGAAAAGCTGACATTCTGAGAGTTTTTTATTTGTGTCGCGTAGTGATCGTAGATGATCATTTAACGGGGTCCTTTGAGTTGATCTTCACGGCACCTGACGGTCTTAATGCGAGGAAGCATGCAAAGCGCATAACACTGATGGGAATATTCCAGCTTAGTGTGAAGCAGTCTAACCGATCCAACACGGAAATTCGTTGTTCATTTCTTGATTAGCGGACACGCATCTTGTGCTACGATTGTGCAACGAAGTGTTACGATTATATTTTATTTATGAAGGTCGCGGGTTCAAATCCCGATGAGGTCATTGGATTCTTTTCAGTTGACCTAATCCTACCAGCCGCACTAGGCCCTGGGGTTTACTCAGCCTATAATAGAAATGAGTACCAGGAATTAATTAAATAATTTTCCTGGGGAGTAAAGCGCGGCCGGCGCGTAAGGCTGCCAACCTTACCGCCATCTTTGAGCCGATTGTCTAGATAATGTGGGACCCTCAACGTCTCACAACCCTATGGGGCTTCAAGGGCCTGATACAGGGATAGCTTTACTTTTTTACTTTTTATTCTTTGTGGGGTGAGGGTGAGTCCACTTGGTACTGCGGCCACTACTGGCCTATTGTACCAGCCCCAAATGATAATGGTGATTGTGAAACAATTGGTGGAATGAAGATTGACAGGGAAACCCAAAGTACTCGAAGAAAACCTGCTCCAGTGCCATTTTGTCCCCCACAAATCCCACATGATCTGACCGGGCTCGAACTCGGGCTGCCGCGAAGGGAAGCCAGCGTCTAACAACCTGAGCTATGGCACGGCTTCATTTTTACTGATGCTCTTGGAAGATACAGAGAAAAATACTCTAATCGGAGAGCACAAATCGTCTTTTCTTTCTGCTGACCGCAGAATGCAAGAGACGGAATGCGACGTGTTCCACGTACAGTCCGTAATGTACAGATTGAAGAGGAGATGCTCGAAGTCATTAAAGGACAGCGTACGATAAGTAACAGTGTCTTGCGGCGTGTACAAATGCTTCTATACAACGCATATTACAAGAACAGCATTATTTGTTCTTATCACTTTCAGATTGTTCGAGTGTTAGTACCATGCGATACGCCTGAACACGTGCATTGTTACTGGATTCTGCAGCAGTCAGCCGAAGACCCTACGTTTACACCAAAGGTTTTATTCGCGGACTGCTTCATGCTTCACTAGGACCGAGAGAGCAAACGTGTGGTCAGATGATTCGGTCTCATCGTCAGCAATAACAGTTTTCCATCAACTTGTTGGTTGGAATTTTAGGTAACTGCCTCATAGATCCTCCATATTTTACAGGTACGAGTTGGTGGTCGTGGTTATCTGAATTTTCTTCGAAAGTATTTAATTCGACTATTGGAAGATGTGCCTAATACGCGTTTTCGTACGAGATTTCGGCACGAGGGTGCTCTAACACATTACAGTTATGAAGTGTGTCAGTGGTTGTCGCAGAAATGCCCTTGCCTTCGGATTGGTCGTGGACTCGATGCTCAGGCTTCTTGTCCTGCACTGTCTCCTGGATTGAATCCTATGTGGAACCTCGCTTAACGAGCACCTCTCATAACGAGTAATTCGCATAACGAGCAAAACAAATTGCCCCCCCCCCAAAGACTCGCTTAAAGGAGCGACGTTTCGCATAACGAGTGACGAGAGGGGAAGTCCCGGATTGTGCGCTTGCTACATCAGTCTGTGTTTAGCACTCGTTCCCCTAGCATCTTAGTGTCGCTTGTGATCACACATTTTTCCAAACTTGTGTTCAGACATATTATTTGTGATTCTTTTTGTGTAAAGTTTAATAACCCTTGCAAAAATGTTCCCGAAGAAAAAGCCGCAAAAAGACAGCCATAAGAGAATAAAAATAACCGTAGAAATGAAACGTAAAATCATTGAAAAGCGAGAACGAGGTGTGAGCGTGGCTGCTCTAGCATGCACATACAGTCGGTCTACATCAGCCGAGTAAAACATGCGGCTTGCGGGCCGCATGCTGCTCCCATAGCCACAAAGTGCGTCCCCTCAACTTTTAGAGCTAATTGATATTAAAATCAATATTAAAATTTCAGTAGAAATATTTTTTTGTAAAGACAATTTTCCAAGAGACCAGAAGACAAGAAGTCTCACGCAGACATAAATTAGCAGGCTGCAGGAAATTCAATGTTTTGCTATTTCTAACATAATTTCTTGTGTAATCTTTCTTTTTAGATATTGAAAAGTTGTTTGATACTTGTCAAAAATGGCATTCGCTTGCTTTTTAAAACTGTAAGATATGTGACTTTAGGTAATTATATTGAAATTNTTGAGAAGCATCACCCTAATAAGGCAGTGGCGATGCGCGCTACAAACTTATTTAATGATAATGCTGTGTCGCATTTTCACCAAATTTTGAAGCGACGGCAAAAACAAATGTCTCTAGACAGCTTTGTAGTAAAAAAGAATTAGATATGTATCATAAATAATAAACTAATTATTTCGATTTTTTTTTTTTGTTTTCTGCAAATCGAATTCGCATTCGAGGTTGGTTTATTCCGCATAGAAGAAAAGATGAAGATGATTCACTCCCCTTAACAATGTATATATATTTTTCTTCGAATAAACGTTATACATTATTTTTTTCTTAGTATTTTTTTTTCGGCATGGAACGCATTATTGTATTTTACATTAATTTATATGGGAAAAACTGTTTCGCTTAACGAGTGTTTCGCATTACGAGTAAGATTCCGGACCAAATTATGCTCGTTAAGCGAGGTTCCACTGTATATTGTTCTTTGTGATGGGATATATGAATACCAAGGTCTCTGTCAGTACAGTCCTTACTACAGAGAAGCGGTGACGTCCAATTCAACAATTTTGCAAGGGAACTGAAGAAGACCTTATACCCGGACTCTTCGAAACTTTGCGATTTTCTTTTTCACGCAGAGCTACGTTGTGTGCCCGTGAACATGAAGATCATTTCGAGCACGTCTTGTTAAAAAGTAAAAATAAAGAGATCATTACTAGCTGTTTCCTTCTTATACAAAAACCTTAATCTCAGTAAGTTATTTAGAGAGTAACCATGAAAGTTGGCCGCGTCATAGCTCAAGCGGTTAGCCGCGATTTTCCACAACGGCGGCCCGGCTTCGATCCCAGGGTCTGGTCAAGTGGGATTTGTGGTGGACAAAGTGGCACTGTGGCGGGTTTTCTCCGATTACTTAGGTTTCCCCTGCCAATCTTTATTCCACCAAATTTCCCATCATAATCACCCGGGGCAGGCTACAATAGGCCAATAAGTGGCCGCCGTGCCGAGAGGACCCAGTTGGACTCCACCCCCCACTAAACGAATTAAAAAAGAACCCATGGAAGTTGAAATTAGAACAGTTGTAACGACTTAAGGAAGGTCCTCAGGATACAAATTCATACGAAATTTTCTGCTTATTTTGATAACCAGAAACCACCTTGTAAAATATAACATGTAATAAAGAGATATTATTTACTTTAAGAGAACTATAATTTGAATGAATGAAATTATATTGGTTTTGTTTGTTTCTTTGTTGTTGCTTCCGTATTCGTTCTGCCTCTCTAAGTGAAACAGGCTGTTAAGTAAGCACGTAAATTCTCAAAGAAAGGTATTATTATTATTATTATTATTGGGGCACGCGGTAGCGTAGTTGGTTGAGGGGCTATGCTACAAGCCGGAAGATCGCGGGTTCAAGTCCCGATGAGGTCATTGTATATTTTTCAATTGACCTAATCCTTTCAGCCGCACTATGGCCCTGGGGTCGACTCAGCCTCTAACAGAAATGAGTACCAGGAATTAATTAAATAATTTTCCTGAGGAGTAAAGCGCGGCCGGCGCGTAAGGCTGACAACCTTACCGCCTTCTGTGAGCCGATTGTCTAGATAAGGTGGGACCCTCAACGTCTTAAAACTTTATGGGCCTTCACGGCCTGTTACAGGAATAGCTTTACTTTTGATTTTACTTTATTATTATTATTATTATTATTATTATTATTATTATTGTATAAGGCCAATTATACACTGTGCTAAGTCTGTAATTGGCCTTGCGGCTGTTGACTTGGCACATAAATAATAAAGAATTGAATTGAATTGAATTATTATTATTATTAGACACAATAGACCACTGTGGTCGCGGTGCAAAGGCCAAGAAGGCCTACCCCTTATACATTCATTATTATTATTACTATTATTTCTGTTGTTTATGCAACAGTCACATTTGCCTTTGAACCCGTTCGTACTAAGAGTTACTGCGGTAGTCAAGTATTCATATTGACCTTAATCAGTCGAGGTACGTTCCTGGCAGAGACGCGCACTGCACGTAGTGCTGAAGAACCTCCACCGATACATGTTGCATGATAGGTGACATATGAGCTCTTTATTAGCGTTAAAAGTACAGCTGTTCTGTACTGCTGTTTTACCGCGGTATTCATTAACCTTTATTTTCGAAGTTAACACAATGGAAGATCTTATTTTCTTTATCCATCCATATGTTGTTTTACGTGTTCTCTGCATTCTGTTTATAAGTGAACACAATGGGAGTTACGTTCCTGTCCATCAGCATGTATCATCTCCCAAACCACTGGGTGGATAATGGTAACATTTGATATGTAAAGTGAAAACTGAAAGTTTTGAGCAATTTATTTTTGGCCATGCTGGGCAATTAAAATTGACACTACATACAAGTAACTAACTCCAGGAAACAAAGTCCTTCTCCAGACGTTAAGCAGTCGAAATGTAAAATTTTTGTTAGACAGCCTATACCAAGAGAAATTCACATGGATTTTGGCCGCTAAAATAATGCTGAAATAAATAGTTTGTCATATTATTTGCCACGACTGTCACTCAGCCAGTCAAGAAATTTACAGCCGAAGTTTCGTTAACATGTTCACATGAAAATGCCAGCGGCCTCCGTCCTGAGCCAGATTAACCAGTCTATATCTCCCCACCTCGTTTCTGTCAGATCAGTTTTAAGAGGGAATATTATTTTTATATTTACGTGGAAATCTCCTAAGCTGTTTCTTCCTTTCGGGGTTTCCGATTAAAATTTATATGCATTTCTCATTTTTCCCATGCGTGCTACGTGACAATTTAATTTAAGAATGTATTAAATAATTTTCCTGGGGAGTAAAGCACGGCCGGAGCGTAAGACTGACAACCTTGCCGCCATCTTTCAGCCGATTGTCGAGATGATGTGGGAACCTCAACGTCTCACAACCCTATGGACCTTCATGGCCAGTTACAGGGATACCTTTACTTTTTTACTATACACAGTGCATACACTACATACTCGTGCACATAAGATACAGTATTTCGTTGGTAGTAGAAATATTGGTATTAAGAAATTGTTAGTTAAGGTCGACTAAGGCCGCGCCATAGCTCAAGCGGTTAGTCGCTGGCTTCCCACCGTGGCGGCCAGGGTTCGATCCCGGGTCTGGTAAAGTGGGATTTGTGGTGGACAAAGTGGCGCTGGGGTGGGTTTTCTCCGAGTACTTCTTCCACAAAATTCACCATCATCATAGTCACCCGGGGCAGGCTACAATAGGCCAATCAGTGGCCGCCGTGCCGAGTGGACCCAGTTGGAATCCACCCGCCACTAAGCGAATTAATTAATTAATTAAGTTCGACTAATTAAAGCAGTAGAAATAAAGAAGGAGCAAATCTATGTCTGGACTATCTGTTGACGTCACTGTTTTCAAAACATAGACACAGAGGGCATTGATTATTAATTATAAATGAAATCGCAAAGAACAAATTCGGAAATTGTGTGTAGAGGTAGAGCTATTCCGAAATGGAGTATCGAAATTATGTGCGTCATAATTCAAATCACGAAGTTAAATCCAGTATCGCCCTTGCCCCAATTCGCCACTGCTTTACGGGCTAATGCAGACTGAGCACCCGAAGCAATAGAGAATCCAGTGCAAGGCCACTGCAATTAACCGCATCGAGCAAGGAACTGTACGATTGGTAACAACTATGGAGGCGTTGCGCAACTGAAATAAGTATCCAAAGAACTCACTGCTGATGTGGTGCATTTTAGTGAACCGAAGGATTACGGACACAGCTCGTGATTTTTAATGCACACCGCTATACTAATAGATGTATTTGACATGTCACAGTTCAATTAGATTATCTGTTATCAGCAGCGCACGAAAACAAATCGAAAATACACACATGTAGATTTCCATTTTTCTAGAAACATGCTCTAATAGAATATGCAATTTACATGGCGATATAATATAAATACATCAGTAACAGTATGAGTTAATCATGAAATGAATGTGGTCGAATTCTTCTGAAATGTAAATGTATCGACAGGTTCTTATATTACTGATCAAGACTACGGTTCAGAAAAATTTTGGCAACGATGGGTAGAGGGGGTGATTCACTGCTGGAAATTCACACGTTAATACACGTATTTAGTCAGATATACCAGTACGTTTAAAAATGATTCAATTTTTCCAAAATGCGTTCCAGTTTCTCCCAGTAGTAGACTCATTTTACGAGTCTCCTCCGCGCTTTAAACTTAAATATTTTCTAGAATAGCACACCTCTACACCATTCCTTCAGTGCCTTATAGAATTTGTAGCACACCTCTACACCATTCCTTCAGTGCCTTATAGAATTTGTAGCGATATAAGAATCAGTACTGTACCCATTTCTTTCAGACGTGAAACTCCGCGGAGAGCAGTCCTGCTCGGTCCTGCTGGTTTCTGAGCTGTCGCGGCGGGTGCTGTGAGATGTTTATATAACCTAACCAAGGCGAATGGTTGCGTGGCGAGAAGGTGAACTAACACATGCAGAGGACGCGATGATCTATCTGCATAAAACACTGAGTAAAAGAGTACACGTACAGTCACTTCTGCATCCAGAGGATCCTCGAGTAGATAGACTGAATCGGCAACTGCGCTAAGCAATTTGCACTTATAGCATATAGGGGTCTCGTGTTTATCATATTAAGTGATCAAATAGAATGATAAATACATAACTGATCATGAATCACAGTTTCGAGAAGTTACCGTATATATACAGAGTGTAAATAAATATATGTTACAACGCTATGTGGTTGGTGGATAGATGGGTTCAATGTGATCATATTTTGTTAATACAATCATGTCCGGAAACGCTTTGTTTCCGCGTTAGGGCCTCTGAAATGTGAAGGAGGACGCTTTTACCTCTTGCATCTGTGGCTTACTGGTAACATATACCTAACATTGGCCGCGCCATAGCTCAAGCGGATAGTCGCTGGTTTCTCACCGCGGCGGTCCGGGTTCGATCCCGGATCTGGTCAAGTAGGATTTGTGGTGGACAAAGTGGCGCTGGGGCAGGTTTTTTCCCAGGACTTCGGTTTCCCCTGCCAATCTTCATTCCACCAATTGCTCCACAATCACCCTCACCTATCATCTGGGGCTGGTACAATAGGCCAGAAGTGGCCGCAGTACAAGGGACTTAGTCCCACCCCACTAGCAATAAAAAAATACCTACCATTTCTCCAAGAGAGCTAACCAGAGCTGCTGGAAGCGATGCCTTTGGAAGCCCATCGTGAAATGTGGTTCCAGAATGATGGCGCCCCAGCACACTGCACTAATGCTGTCCGTGAGTATTTGAATGAAACCTTTGGCAAGAGATGGATTGGACGTGGAGACCCAATAACCTGACCCCCTCACTACCCAGACTCCACGTACTTTTCTAGAAATTAACTTGGAAGGGCCGATGAAAATTCTGACGCACTCAACAGTGCCTCCTGCCCTTTAACCGGAGGAAGGAAACAGATCCAGTTTCCGAAACACTGTGTTCTTTAGAATAACAGACGGTGGACAAAGTCCGAAACTAAGTCATCCCGCCTATAATAATTTTCAAAATCTGACAGCAGTGACACAATCTTCCATGTCACGTCACTTACTAAAATGCCAAGTAAAGTAAATAAAGTAAAGCTATCCATGTACCAGGCCGTGAAGGCCCATGGGGTTGTGAGACGTTGAAGGATGCCAAGTTCTTCAGCCAATTCGCAGCCTGATGTATTGTCAGTTTCTATATTTAAGCACTACATACGAAGTGGTGTGGAAGATAAAATGTTCATGAAAATTATAAATAAAATTACATTTTTATAGAAAGACTATTTTGCGTCCCATTTAATATTTTTCGGAACAACGGAGCTCCTCATTCAAAAACGGGAAGTCTTATCGCCATATATAAGAGTTATTTCACTTGTAAATGTTACAGTTTGTTACAAAGCAAACGTGCATTTCGTTCTTGAGTGCTCAATGTATAAAGCCAGTCCCCTCCCAGAATTATTATGATAATCCATGTGTAGGCCTATAGATTGGCGTTCTTTCTAGCAACAGATTTAACCGATGAAAACCAAGCAAAAGAACATAGGGGTAATGTTGTTCCTTTGCCTATCAGACCACGAAATCGTAGGGGAGCGCGTAGGTAAAACTCCACACAGTCTAGTCTTTGTGCTAGATGGAGTAAGCTTCACGCTTTGGAAGAAAACTTACATGCTTCAATTTTATAATGTAATTAATAATTATATAACATGGTAGCTTAGCAGTTTAAATTTATTGATTGACTGATACTTCATATAGGAATTTGTTTAGAAGCTCATGGATATTGCTAAAACACTGAATATATTGTGAAATGAAACTCTGATACAAGGTAACGATATAATTATAAATGATTTTTTTCCCCTTGGCACTACAGCCCCAGTGGGCCTATGCCTACCTCCACAAACTCCGTTCACTTCGTTTTTTTTAGATATTACACATTCGGTAGGACTCCTTGGGCAGGTGATCAGCTCGTCGCAAGGCCTCTAAATGAAAGTTTGAAAAAGATTAAAAATGTAACACTTGTAAGAACAATAGTAAACTGACATGGGGTTCGTGATGGAATTAAGAGCAGAGAAATTAAAGAAAATACATTCAAATAGAGAGAAGTTAATCCTTCCTCATCATGAAACGCAAAGATCATAGTTTTACCAATTTTTATGGCCAAAATGTTACATTTTATTTTGATAAACAAATTCCAAATGCCTGAAAAAAGGCCCAAGTAAATATGTGATTAAGGATATTACATGGGTATGGACTGGAGCGGCCTTGGTACGTAGCAGAATTCGATTTTAGCAATAACAAAATATCTATTATGGACGCGTTAATTTATTTATATATTCATAAAATATATTGCGGTTGTAAATCACCCTTCGCATCCGTAAAGAAACTCCTGGTGCACAGAGAATATTAAGTGTACTTGTTTCATAAAATAATTCTCTAGCAGTCTGTACGGAAATCGGCGATCATCAAGCCTCAGGTTTCGTACATGCCAGGGCTCCACAGCGATTCTGGCAACACTTGGATCGTCCCCTACAGTCGCCGTCCACCCGACACGTGCTCGAACAGACCCATGGACCGATCGGCGTCTCAGGGCACCGCCCGGGCTTCACTGCAAACAAAATTACATCGATTAACTTAGGTATTTTGAAACTAGCAACACTCTGAACATTCTTAGTGCTAATAAACAATAGAAGAATACCATGTCGTGGAAGAACTCAATATAATATGGTCATATAATTTGTTACTCCATTTATTTAACGCTAGTACTTCAGCTTCATAATTATATGGTTGTTGTAATTTAAGGGAATCTCCTAGAATTTACCTGAAGAAGCTCAGTAGAATCCTCCCTGAAGTTTAATGTTTCTGTAAGTTGTTATTAGTGTTGCAACATTCAATCTTTGCAGAAACGATTCAGTGTTAGGATATAGCTGTAGAACTGGGAGTAAATTGGTAGCTCTGAAACTTTTGCTTCTCTGTCTCCGTTTTGAAAGATCTCAGCTGTTTCGAATTTTTAGGTCAATATAGTCTGTCAGTTTCACAGCTTACAAAGCGTGAAATTTAAATAGGGAAGGATGTGGAAGTCATGCATGTTAGCATTTTTAACTCCCAGCCATAACTACGAGTAATACTAAGAGGACTGCACGACTGCCTCTAGCTTTCTGAGGTATGAACAAGTTTAGCGCCCTTCAGAGTTATTGTCGTTCTCTCTCACCATAGAACCTGATGACAGTGGATATATGACTGACTGCTCGCACTCAGGAACATTTCACCCCATTTATATTTCGAAAATAACAGAGAAACGGAGGAGTTACTAGAAATATTACGACACTGAAGAACTGAATATGGAAGTAAGCAAAAGCAAAGGTCGCGCCATAGTTCAAGCGGTTAGTCGCTGGCTTCCCATCGCGGCGGCCCGGGTTCGATCCCGGGACTGGTCAAGTGCGATTTGTGGTGGACAAACTGGCGCTCTGGCGGGTTTTCTCTTAATACTTCGGTTTCCCCTGCCAATCTTCATTCCACCAAATTCTCCATCATCATAATCACCTGGGGCAGGTTACAATAAGCCAATCAGTGGCTGCCGTGTCGAGTGGACCCAGTTGGACTCTACCCCCCACTAAGCGAAAATTCTAAATATTTCAATAAAGGCTAAATGTAAAGTCACTACGCTTAATTAATCACCACAGCATGAAGATATACTGAGCGGAGGTATATCTCCATGCATTCTTAATCCCTGTACTGGATGAAAGTGAGTGGTTAGCTTCGTAGCCTAGTCGCTCTGTCCTCGAGGAAAATCTTCCTGTACCCACTGCATACAGTATTGAGTGGGTCCAGGAACAGATATGGGCACTATGGAAAGACATGGCTGCCCTTACCGGGAATCGAAACCAGACACCTCGGTCGTCTGGCCCTTAGCCTGGTCATTATACTGACACAGCTATGTTGGCTTCCTTCATTTTGAACTAGTCCCATTTATTATATAATTTAACATCGAGTGATTTTATAACACGACACATTCTTCTTTCCCATAGCATTATATAAAATTATAGCTCTACAGCCCTCTGTTGTACCTTGGCCGCTTTTCTCAGTTTCTTGATCCTATACACAATCAGTAGGACTCCTTGGATGGGGGATCAGCCCTTCGCAAGGCCTCTGCCTACACACAGAACAACATAAACACAGAATAAACGCATACATTACAGACATCCAAGCCTTGAGTGGGATTCGAACCCAGGATCCCAGCGTTCGAGCTAATGAAGACAGTTTATGCCTTAGAACACGCGGCCACTGTGATCGGCATAGCATATTACATGCTCTAACTAAAAGATCCTTGAGGTTTATCCATCGAAGGTGTGATTCCACCGACTGTTCCAAATTCTCTAATCATCCAATCAACGCCATCACAGCGCCGTTAGCAAAACAAAACAACAGTATACCACAGAGTGGGTAACCTTACAGAAGGAAAGCCATGCGTATTCAACAAGACACCTGATATGGAAATTTCGATTTGAATCGAATGTTGAAAATATTGTCGCGTGTATTAGTGACTTATAGATGGGGTTTGGATTGGTGAATCGATTTACTGGATATTCACCAGTCGTAACTACAAATAATTATAACATTCTCAAGTTTACTGTAAAGTCATACACTAATTCTTCTCAGGCTCAGTTCCAGTTCTTCTTCTACTACGAACTTCCCGTGGCTATGTTCTACCGGCAAATTACTCTCAGCTTCTTCTGTTATTCTTGGAATCTCGCTATATATCCGCGACACGGACCGAAAACATAGTTCAACCGTTGCGCAGCGCAGACCACAGAGAAAACACAAGTCACGTGATCATTACCCAGCCATCTCATTGGCGCGCTGACTGCTGCCTAGCAAGGAGCTATAACATTCGTCCACTGAGACACATTTTCCATTGTTGAGAGTTGGAACGTGTTTATCGAGCAGTTGCCTGGTAATGCTTTGATCGAAGGTAGGTAAAGTTGTCCCTGTGCTTAACTAATTAAGCACTATGCCATGAAGGCGTGTGGGGGAGTGAATAAAGCTCCACATTTTTTTTGACCTCGCCACTAGTTGGAAGAGAGTGATCAGTTTCATGGCCCAGCCTCTTTATCTCCGGGAAAAAGTCCCCGATACCCATTGTATAGGAGGCTGGGTGGACCCCAGAGCCTGTCTGGACGATATGGAGAAGAGAAAATTCTTGGCTCTACCGGGATTCGAACTCCGGCCCCTAGGTCGTCCAGCCCGTAGCCAGTCGCTATACCGATTGTTACAATATAATCTGAAGTATTATAACGATCATACTCAGCTTCCTTTGGCTTTTAAATATATTTCATTATAATGTGTGTTATATCACAATTAGAACATTTCTTGTTCAGTCTTAAACTAGACAGCTATGACAGAGAGCAGCTGTATTTCTTATTTTGAAAGTAATAAGAATAATCGATATTGGAGAAATTATTATACCTTACTGTTGCTAATTATTAAGAAATCCAGCACGGTATTGAATAACTGCGATGCTAACTGATATTTTGCTAACTGAATTAAAAAAGAAGCGAAGAGAGTGAAATGAATTATTCGTGAAATTGTATACTCCACATGCTATTTCAAATGTGCTTTACCTGGCCATCCCTAGTAATAGCTATGACAGCTAATTTTACAGTATGCGCCAAGAAATCAGTACTGAAATGAAAAGACGTCCTGTTGATACCACTGTCTATTCATGTGAAGGCCCCTTGCACGACAGAACCTTCTCAAATCCTGAAGAAATGGCCCGATCACCATGTCCCTGTAGCGTTCTTGAGTGACGGTAAGAGCATTGCCTTCCTCATTCTCAACGAAATAGGGGCCTAATATACCATGTGCCGAGACGGCACACCATATCGTCACACGTGTACTGTGTAACGGTTTCTGGACGGTAACATCTGGCCGCTCAAACCACGAAGTGGTCTGGCGACCACTTCCATATGAGCGGAAATAATACTCAACTATGAATACTACTACTCTGTCCAAAAAGTATCCGACCTTGGGCCGGGGAAAAAAAGTTCTGTATCTGGGTGGTTACAATACCTAATCGCCTTCAAAGGAGGCTCCTTGTGACTCCACACACACTTAGCCCAGCGGTCCTTCCATCGCTGGAAGCAATTCTGGGAGGCTTCTTTTGGAATGGCGTGCAGCTGCACGGTCGCGTTGTGTATGATGTCCTCGCGGCTGTGAAAACGGCAGCCTTTAGCGGTGTCTTCAGTCTCGGGAACAGCCAGAAATCACAAGGAGCCGTGTCAGGAGAGTAGGGAGGCTGGCGAACCTGCGGAATGCCGTGCTTGGCCAGGAAACCCTGGATCAGGTGCGATGAATGAGCTGGGGCGTTGCGTCCCACAGCTCCGGTCTCTTGCGCCGAACTGCATCACGAAGATGGCGGAGGACTTCTTGGTAGTACTCCTTATTGACAGCCTGGCCTAGTGGTGCGTACTCATGATGCACGACACCCCGGTAATCGAGAAAAACAGTCAGTATCACCTTCACATTGCTCCGAACCTGTCGGTTTCTTTTGGGCCTCGGGGATGTTGAATGCTGCCATTGTGAAGCCTGGACCTTGGTTCCGGGTCATATCCGTACACCCACGACTCGTCACCAGTGATCACAGTCTTCAGGAACTCAGGATCCCTGTTGGTGCACTCCAGCATGTCCTGCGCGACCTCAAGACGGAGTTGTTGCTGCTCCGGCGAAAGCAGTTTGGGCACAAATTTTGCCGCCTCTCTTCGCCTGCCCAAATCCTCAGTTAAAATTGTGTTTGCGGAACCTCTGCTGATCCCAACCTCATCAGCAACTTCACGGATGGCCAAACGACGGTCCTCCATGATCAGTGTCCGCGCTATTTTAGTGACATCAGTATTGACGGTCTCCCGGAACGCTGCTCACTGTCCGCCGACATACGGCCATGTTTAAAGCGGTTGAACCACTCTTTAATTTGAGTGACCCCCATGGCATCATCGACGAAAGCCTGCTGAATTTTGCGAATTGTTTCCGCTTGGGTATCCCAAAGTTTCTGACAAAACTTGATGCAGTATCGCTGCTCAAAGCGTTCTGTCATCTTGAGCGAAACGAGAATGCGATGAACACGTGTTACACCACTTCGCTATCTGGCAGCCACAGACGCATCCGGCAGTGTTGCGAGTCAGCAAAAATCATGCATGCGCATGAAAGTCCCTTCTACCACTATGCTCAGTTTTCCCTCCCCTTTGGCCATTACTTACAGTGGAAAAAAATTAAGTTGGATACTTTTTGGACATACGGTATTTCCTCCGTCGAGAGACCCATTTCCAACAACAACTGCGCAACACAACTTCCTTTTCACTACTGGGAACATGTGCGGCTGGAGCTATGCCCCGCCGACAAACGCACATGCGCGTTCGAGATGCGCGAGTTTCAGTACTGCATTTTTGGCGCATACTGTATTTAGAATAAACCGACAAAGAATAAAGATTACTTCACCATTCTCAAGTTTCCCCTAAAATGAACATGTTCACAGAGTTCACTATTATTCCAGTATAAATAATATATTACTTGTATGATTTGAGGTTCTCACAGCTGTGGCTATGAAGAGCTCAA